AAAACGACGTTGCCCGAAGGCAAGGCCGAACATTGAATTTCACCATAATGACCATAAGCGTTTTCGATTACCTCGGCTACTTATCGACACCAATAGGCCTGTCTTCTTTCGAAGTTGAGTTAGGCCTCAGCTAACAATGATAGCCTTACCTAATGACCAACAGCGTCCCTCCATATCATAACCTCAAAATTTTAGTCGCTTACCTTGGCCACCTGCAGAAACCGCCAGGCCAGTGTCTATGAAAGACGCTGATTATGAGCCTTCAACCACCAATGATTGCCCAACCCAATGACCAACGACAGGCCTCTAGGCCGAAATACGCTCGTGCAATCGCTTACCTTGGCAAATTGCAGCAATCTCCGTGTTCACACATCTGAATGCACCTGATTATGAGGCCCCAGTCATGCTAGTTGCCTGACCCAATTGTCTGATGGTCTCTGATACTCATACATAGGGTCGGTCTGTCAAACTGGCTTCTGATAAATACGCAACCACGACTAACGAGTCGTATGTCCATTCGTTGGTTGCATCGGTGCAAACCTAATGTGTATTCAACTCTGTTCTGTCCTTTAGGAAGCCGCTTTAGCTCGACAGGATCTCTGGAAGGAAGAATGAGTAGTAAGGTACAACTCGTATACATCTTCGGCAATATCGCTGAAAATATATGATTAAGCAGTGCTATAGAGGCAAACTCAACAAGTGTCCAAATAAACTCTTTGTGCAGAATGCTTGATCGGTATCCACGATGGGGCTTGAGTTTTACTCTTGCGGAGGTGAACTTAATACCTGCTGAATTAACTCCAATGATGGCATGATGAAATGCTCTGAGCAAATGCATTATTAGACGCAGCAAAGTTGGGCCAAAGAAGTGTTCGATCCTCAATTGTAAGATCGAGTGGTACACACTAAAACCCCAGGATTCAAGGGCCCCCTGAGTTTCCAAACGTGCATCACTAGGTGTAGCCGTAGTGACGATCTAGTGAATGGCATGTACTTGATGTCAAATCTGCTCATTTAGAGCATTAAATTACAACTTCATTCTACTTCTGCTTTCTGATAATGATACTATCTGGCCTAATGAAATCAACATCTCTAACGTCCCTACTATGGTTCGGAACTGACCCATACTCAACTGCATTGAGCTTTTAGCCAATTAGGGCTTCGTTCTGAATACCGACCGAATCCAATGTTTGCGTTTGTAAACTGGCTCATTTGTGATCATTTAAGAACACCCTATTGGAAATCGCTTGCTATTTCCGGCTACCGTGATGCCTTGTTTGATATTTGTCGCATAGACATAGGTTTCGTTCAACTCCTCTTTAATGCCCGTATATCGCAACTTATTTTCACTTCTAAAACCATGACCGCAATATACAAGTAGACAAGCTAATAAGACAGCCACCTCTGGTACAATTCGTCTCTCATAAGGGTGATGATCTACCCGAAGACTGCAGGGTTTATCTAATTTTATTTACCAGTATCAGGTATCCTTCGATCCACGTCACAACGCCACCAACCTTGCCTTTGCCATCTAGGCGGTCAATAGGCCATTACCCTTCAGAATACACCCACCTGATCTGCCTTGACTAGTCGTCCACATTTTCTTCAGCTTGTAATTGCAGCATTATAGGGGTATTCCATCTTCCAGACAAACACCTTCGGACATCTCATATTTTTCTCCCATTTCATGTCTGCAAAAGCTTCAAGCTACCTTAGTTGGTGTCATTGAGCTAATGCACGTCCCTCGCGTTCACATATGCCTACATCCACTGGCATCTACCACATACCTATTATCTCCAACTGAATGTCGACTACCATTTTTGAAATCGTCAAGGGTCGGCTCGCCATAGAGTTTGATATTGTGATTACCTCACTGCCTGCCATTGCGAACAGCAGTCCACCCGGTAAATCAGTGCACCGTAGCAGATATTTTTCACACTTCCCCCATTCTGGGTCACCAAGGTACGCACGGCTGTCTTTTTGCACTCGAAATGAATAAAAACAATGAACTTTGCAGCGACCGAAACCCAAGAATATTTTTGCTTCATGCTGAGTTTAATTTGCCAAGATCTCGGTTTCTATCTCATCTACCGCGGCAACCCAAAGAGACCCACCCAAGATGCTCAAGAATGGAACTATTTATGAACCCAAGTACGACATCGTGAGCACGATACCATGAAAGCCATACCCAGTTATTCGGCTTGCTCGTAGATCACCACGCCTCTACTAGTCATAAACCGAGCGCGTTACAAGTGCCCACAAACCCTTGCCGTTCCGTTGAATTTGTGCCGAAACTTCAACTCAGCGACCACAGCGTTGCACTTTTTGCACGTTTTACCAATAGACCCATCAAATCTTCTAATCATATTATCAAGGAATCAGAATACCGGTGAATATATTACCCCATATGTACCCAAAACAACGGGTGATGGCCACCATAAAAAGCCAACAAACCCACTGCCTCTCACGAATTCCTTTGCTTTGTCCGGCTGGGAGCCTGCTGCGTCGATTAAAACCATTCCCCTATAAGGTCTGTGAATAGCTGCTTTATTCTGAGTTTGCGTGGAGAAGAAGGGAGTGGCTATGGTCTGTGTAGCCCTGAAATAATTTCCAAGTCCGGTGAAGAAGAAAAAGCGCTGGGATAAAACTTTCCTGTGAAAGCTACCGCCGTCTTCACGCAGATAACTTGCTAACCCACTGACAGTAAGTTTAATATGGGTTCCGCGCCTATATTGACCCGTGAGTTTAAACAACGCTCAACAAATCCTCGGTTACATGGGGAGATTTTAAAGGGTCGGATAAATACCATCAAATAATATAAACTTATGCCCACGCTCCCTCCGATTTCAGGGGAATTCGCGGTGTGCATCCAGGAACCGGCTGCGTCACCTACAGGGCTGCATCGGAATCGAGTTCCTCTAAATGGCCGAACAGCGCGTTCATTGGACGTGCCTGACGCGAATCTGTAACGGAAAAATTTAGAGGAGTACCTTGTTCGGTCAGCGTAAGCCATCGGGATCCACGTCCACATGTTTTTGTTTTCGACTCCCGCACGCCGATTTTAGCGCGGACTTTTGAAAGATGTACTGATGATCATATTTTAACCGCTGTAATAACTTTTGTCTCCCCCAAAAAGTATGTTACACTGTCTTACTTCTTGATATGCAAGGTGGGTACAACATGAAGCCAAGGACTGATGTAGATGTTGTGTCACGATCCGCAAAACAAATTATCAACAGCTTCTCGGTTAAAACGATAACAAATACTGTTATCAGGCTCCACGATGCTCGCCAGAAGTGAGGGTTTTGGAACAAATTGAACGACGTTGCACCTGATTACACCCCAGAGTCCAAAAGACCGACCGTTTTCTCCTGCGCTTGCACTTCCACGGTTTCGCTGCAACCGTTGATCAAAGCTTTCTGCCGTTTCTAAGGCCCGGCAGTTTTGGCTAGTTTCGGGATATCGTTTTAGATGGCTTGTCTTACCGGTAGCAAGGTTCTCTTTAGACTCTGGTACGTTCAAATTCAAAAGTAATACGCCAGCATCGGTTGTTCACTTGGTCTTAGCTGACAACTGACTAACTTCACACAGTGGTAATAGTGCGTTCGTAAGTGTTGGGAAGCGATTGTCCAAAATTGTAATTTCTAACGTTAGGTTGTGTGAAAATTTGCGATTTTCTACCCCTGCACAAACGAACTTCAATGTGACACAAATCGCGGCGGCGCTGTTTGGGCTATTTCTGCTGCGTCGCTCATGGTATTCTCTGGTATATCCTCTAAACTACTGCAGAATGACCATATGTGATTGCCAGACATACGGCTAGTCGTGTTCTCTGTGGCACCGAAATTCTACTATTTATAATTTCGCTACATCACCTGTTATATGGCAAACCCGATGAATCCATGTTGGGAACAAGGCACGTCAAGCTCAGCTGTTAGAGATTTTGTGTTTCAATAAATAGGTGCTTAGTACGGAAACAGAAACGATCTATTTTAATGGATTTCTTGTGGGTGACGATAAAATCCATCATTTCAAGTCGCGTCTAACAACCAAGAATAAACGCCAGACACGCCTTATAATCATTAACTGGGCAAACCAAGGATATATATGGGGAATATACTGCTGCCACTGGGTGTGAAAAGGAGCTAAACTAGGACAAACAAAAGACCTTATCTAACCGGAGGAAAACACGAATCGGGATTTGGAAGAGTGCAGAATCAATATGCGGACAGTATCATGTGAAAATATCACATAATTCTAAGCATCGGGGAGGGGAATGCATCACAAATGAATCTGGCAGCGGGGTAAGCGAGTCTCTTTGACGTATAGAGTGGTTTTCAACAGGCGGTTCCTTGTCCAAAACCCTATGAAAGAAAGACGGTTGTAGCCCTAAAGGGGCAATTTTAAGCCATGACGCTGGTGGAAACGAAGCATCCTAATTGACTCCACCCTGTTTTGGCAACAGCCAGCAACTTCACCTGCAACTTCCACCCTACTGTTCACCCTTTCTCTCAGGCCGAAAGTTCCATGTGTGTTATGCGCAGAAATCAAGCAGAGAAAGTCAGGCGGACGACACAGCACGGTGGTGCGATGGAAATTAGAGGATGCTGACTGGGTAGTGCAGATATAGTGGAGTGTTTTCGGGGTGAAAGAGATTGAAGGAAAAGAAGAATCAACGGCAGGTTACTGTTGCCTAGTTGTCCAGGTACGTAGTAGGTAGCAGGAAAGTATCTCAACGATAACCGGTGTGGCGCTTTCTTAACTCCAATCACTCAAACTGCCACAATCCAACCGTATTCGGTTTTCATTTCGAGAGAACGTGGGGGTGTCCAGGTAGTTTCTATGTTCATTCAATAGTGCCCTCCATCCGGGTCGGATACATTGTGGATTTGGTAAATCGAGAGCACGGTCAGGCTTTTCGCTTGGGCTTGTATCGAATTGTGCGTTTCCATTAGTATTCCATCAAAATCAATCCAAATGTGTTGAACTACAGAAATTCGATGCATCCCCAAATATCACTGCTTCGCCCTGGGTTATCCCGATGTATGGGTGAGAAGAATAAACCCAACCCGGAAAGCTTGGACGAAAGCCGTGATCGTGTGTCAGCGAATGCCTTTGTTATACATGGTGAAAAGGGACCAGAAAACATCATGAGGGTAGATGCCAAAAGAGATTTGGGCATCTGGGTCTCCTCAAACTTTTCCGTCTCACTACAGCATGAGAAATCAGCCCAAAGGGCATTCGCCATTTTACGGATGATCCGACGCACACTCTCCCGTATCACTCGCATGGACTTCCAAATACTCCATGGGGCCTACATCAGACCGCTCCTGGAACTCGCCAACCAAGTTGCCTACTCAGGACGTACGATAGACTTCACCCTTATCGAGCGTGTCCAGCGGGCCGCTACGAGAATGGTTGCCGGCCTCGAATCCGTGGACTACGAAACGCGTCTCGGAATGCTTGATCTCTTTCCCCTGGAGTACCGTCGCCTCCGAGGGGACCTAATTCTTACCTACGCCCTGTTTGAACAAAGCTTGACAAACAGGTTTTTTACCGTTGACCCAGCAAACACCTGGCGGGGACATAGTAAGAAAATTTTCAAGCTCAGGGCACAGACATTTATTTATGCGAATCCTCGCGCTGGCAAGCATACTGCCCCGCGCTGAGAACATAAAGAGCAGTGCTACACCCTTTTTTCACTTGTGCCTTTCGGGTGAATGACAGCCACTGACCGACAAGAACAAAACCGACCCGGGAAACTTGGGCAAAAGCCTCGATCCTGTGTATCAATCCGTGAATCCGTGAGTCCGTGAATCAGTAACTGATGAAGGAACCCGCACGATGTCATGAGGTGAATGGACGACACTTAAATGAGACTGCATTGGTGACTATTAGCCAGTTGTGTTCACGTACGAGAAGTAGGCCGCTCTAAATGACCGTACATGACGTTGTCAGACGAGTTTCACGAACCAGCTGCGGAAGCAACGAAGCCATGTCCTGGTTTGTCAGAACGCCAGCCAATCGGCCCCGAGCATTTTCAGCTCGACGCTCCTCGTCCCCTCACAAAGATTCCAGCGGATGTTGTGGTGAATGCAGTTGCAATAATTTTCCCTCTCCAAAGTGCGTCGTTCCAAGCTACCGGACTTTTTGATATTCTATAGTGAAACGAACATGGGGACAAAAACTGAAGTCGTCTACAGTACATATATGTTATTATAATAACATGCCCGGCGTGTATTCGGTGGTCTATATATAGGCCGATGGATTTATAAATCGATCGGCGGGAGTACTTTTTCAGAATGTTTGTAAGGCCAGAAACAGGTGGTGTTCAGCACGGCTGAAAAAGTCACTCTCTATTATCTGTACGATGAGCATGGACTCCAAATCTACTACCTAACTGCTCCTTCCGGACTTGGGCATCACGGATTCACGGATTGATACACAGAATCAAGGCTTTCACCCAAGGTTCCCAGGTCGGTTTTGTTCTTGTCATTAACCTGAAAGGTGTAAGCGCAAAAGGTGTAGAATTGCACCTCAAGTTCTGGACGCGGGGCGGTCAGTTTGCCAGCCGGAGCACTCACATAAAAAAGCGTACGTCTGATAGTTCTTTGAACCAAGTACTGGATGGAGCGTAGCCGACCGTCGGAAGAAGGTTATTCTACGTAGCAAATATCCAAAATGAAAGAAAAGTTGCCTAATAAAAGTGTGCTTGAAATCCCGCCGTGTGATTGCTGGGTCAACGGTAAAAAAAACCCGTTGGCCAAAACTTGTTCAAAAAGGGCATGAAAAAGAATTAGATTTCGAAGGCGACGATACTCCAGGGAAAGGAGGTCAGGCATCGCGATGCGCGTTTCATAGTCCATGGATTTAAGCCCGGAAACCATTTTCGTAGCAGTTCGTTAGATGCACCGGTCCATTCTGACAAAGGTGTTCGCCGAGTCCCTTCCGAATAACATATGGACGCATTCATTCAGAGGAACGTGATGCCTGTCGCCCAGTTTAAGCGTGTATAGCATTGAAGGCCGCGACTTTAGTAAAATCTTTCGAGTTTATCACGGGATTATTTTGGTTTATTTTTCTGGGCGATAGTTGTGGTACAAAACAATGACTAAGGGACTGAGAGCCGGATTGATTGCATTGTATCACTTGCTGGGTGGGGAAGGCATTTAATAAGAGCCGCTGAACGAAGAACTGCAGGTGTGATTCAACGGATATAGCAGTATCACTCATGCTTCACTGCCATCTAACCACAAAGTTCATTTAATTTTATTTAAAGCCTTAAGGTGAAGGTCACAGAAAACATAGAATAAGGGAGGGACATTGAGCGAACCTTCTGAGGTATCTGCACCTAGAGAGTTCAGCCAGACAACCTGGAGAGAAACTGATAGCACAACTCAATTGACATCAATAGGCCATCCCTTGTAATGTTTACAGCCGAGCGCAAAGAAGGGGGCGCGTTGCGCCAACCCTCAACTTGAACCGCTCCCACCTCGTCAAACATTGTCCACCTCGCTATTCTGAAGGACGCACGGAGAACAACACTTTCCGGTTAATGTTTCTTTGTGTGTAATACATGACCGAGCTACCTCAGCAGATGGTGGCGGATCTTTTACGCGACTGAAGTACCTGTTGCACAACCAAGAGCCCACACTCTAATTACCTCATCCTCCCACTGCCTCGTGGGTTATACTTTTAGTCAAAGGCTCAGGGTAGGGTATCTCAACCAAAACCTTTTCTTTCGCTTGGAGAACCGGGAAGTGTCATTCACCCTTGCGGCTCTTCGCTCATCTCCGCCTTCTCTTTCACCTTTCTTTACCCATCAATCGATCAACCCGTCTGCCACCTAGCCAATGTTCCGTGTCTAAACCATTATCCGGAAAAATAAACTTAACTAGTTACTCACTAACCCCAAGAGATCCGATCCACGTCGCAACGTCCAATGTTCGTGCCCCGTGTCAAATTGGGCAACAGGCATCTCTTGCTGAAACATTGCTTGCCCTATCTGTCGATGTATGTCATCGTCACCGACAGCATGACATCATTGTTCAACACCGTACAACCATGATTTGTTTAAAAGCCTTGTGAAGAAAAGAATGGACTTAGTGCTAGGTTACTACAATCATTCTGAGGTGCCTACACCTCCAGACACATTCAGGCAATCTGGACGGAAACTGGCAATAAAAAGGCCACTGACATCGGTTACCACATCTTGCAGCGTCTCCAACCAGGCACAGTGTGGACCACGCGGTCGCCATCCCTAAAGGCGAGTGGCACCGAGAGCACCCAAACGTTTCGTGATCTTCTTCATGCCCCTTTGCCAGGTCAAGGGTTGGTCACATCTGCTTTCTCCACTCAGTTGGGCATGACAAACAGCACTCCGACGAACGGTCGTTCGGCATACGCAACAATAAGGCTTTCAAATAAATCATGGTTGTACGGCAGTGAAGCATCAGTGTTGAACACTGATGTCATGCTGTCCATGATGATGAGGATGAACACGTGTCCCAACCAACGCAGCTTCGGGTGCTGGACACATTTTTGAATAAAAGTACCCGTTGCACAGCTGAAAACCCGCTTTCTAGTTGCTTTGTTACGGTTTCTCCGACGCCAACTTACACGATCTGTGGTTCTGAGACAACGATTGTCGAACACCTGAAGACGTCTCAGTTCTGCTGCTCGAACAGGCCATATCTCAGCCGTACAAAAAAGTAAACCGCACTGTAGCCTGAGACACCCCACTTTGGCGCTTTTGGTGTCTCAAATTAACAGACGCCTTAGAAAAGAACAGACCCGAGTCGAATGCCTTGGAAACCCGGGGATACTAGAATTGTGGGTTTGTGGCGTTGTTCTAGCACCTGACGGAGTGTGAAGATTTGGTCAACGCAACCCCTGTCAGGCCGGAATTCCGCTTGCTACTCTTTAGTCAGTGTTTCACGAGCCATCGTAATGCGACGAAGCATGAGTGATGCCAACAGTCTCGTTACAGCCAGGGTCAAGCTGACCCCCCCCCCGTTGGTTACCACATGCAGTACGAGTCCCTTTTTGATATCGGCACTATCACCGACTCTCCCGAGGTGTCTGAGATGGGTTTCTTTTCCCATATCAGACAAGCGCTGACTGAGGACTTCACCCTCGTCTTTGAACATTGCGAGGGGAGAGGTCATCCGGACCAAAAGCCCGGTGGCGCTTGAGAAAGCAAATGCAGTCGTAAAACCCCGAGAGCGTAGGTGGTTCCCCGTTCACCTTCCAGGATTCTACGTCAGTTGTGGGCTCCAGATGAGCGTCAGCTGGTGGCCACGACAACTGTTGTTCGAAGTATTCGGCCCAACATCCATCTGTCTCCGAAACACGCATTCCCATTGTAGAGAACAATGCGACCTTACCTCCAGACCGCCTCGTACTGCGGTTATTCGTATTGCGGGCTTTCGCTGCTCTTCGTCATTGGCCTTCCTGGCATGGTTTTACCTTGTGGGACAGCATTCCAGCCAGGGGAATACTCATGTCCGACTACCACGTCAAGGTGTCAACTTTTGGTGTGAACGGGGATCGGTTAGGCTTTAGTCAGCGAGGCAGGAATACCCCGCAGCACTAGTTCGACTGTCACCGCTTCATTGTGCATCACCATTTCATGACCTGGTTTCCTAGAATCTTACTCGAATAATCGTTTGGACCGAAATGGTGAGTGGGCATCTTGAGTGGATTTTCAGACCATCCTTACTTGGCATGTGTAATTTGCCACCCCAACGATTCTGATGGATTAACCGGTACTCACCTTCCCATCATTTTATCGCTTTCACGCCGCACCCAACTGGCCGTTGCCATGCTACGGACACCGGTAGTTAGGTGCTAGATGGCATTTGAAATCCTCAGCTCAGAGGAGCTACATTGTACGACTCTTGTGATTGCTTTGTAAACACTGCTCCCTAGCTTCAGTAAAATTCGTATCTGACGCCATAAATAATCCAGGTTGGAGAATGTTGTTTGCACCTAAATTATGTGCCCATTAATTTCATCTTTTGCAGTATGGTGAAGGCTTCTGTAGCTACCAAGATTCGTCGACCGTGAATAAAATCATAAAGTTTCAGAGGGTGCCACAACAGCATTCCGAAGAAAGACTGGGCTCTGAAGGTGCAAAACGCACACTGGAACAAGGGAATGTCTCCGATACCATGTTGCGACTGATTTCAGTCAGACAACGGGTCGCCGTCCGTATAATCAAATTTCATCACTCCGTCTCAAGAAGTGAATTCGACAAGCAAATTTATGGTCCCTTGAGATTTACTTTTCACAATAATGTCACTGGAAAATTGAACATGATCTTGAAGGGAGTAACCTTGACGGACTCCATTGGTCGTGAGAACTCGCCTCCGGACGGTTCGTTGTAGACCCCAGTTCGAAGGGAGGTATGGAAACAGGACATGAAGGATGTTTGCAAAAGATGGTTCAGTGGTTAAAGCGCGAATTTGCTGACTGAAAGGTTCTTGGTTCGAACCCGACCTCTGCATCTCGACTTACCCTGCCTAGGCTTGGACAACCTGGCAGTATCTCAGCCCTCGTGGTTCTTTTGGGCGACATGGCAATCAGGCACCTTAAGGGTGCTACAGCTAAACGAATGATACATATAATAACGGATTTTTTCCAAAATTAGAGGTCCTCTCTCTCTGGTGTACATGCGTGCACCACACCGCCGTCCACACACGAGTTACAGTGGGCTGAAGTATTCTCGATCTTCTGGCCGAATTGTGCTCCCTCTGGAAGAATGCTGCGTCTCAATATTTTATGTGGACCCAGGGGCTCTTGTGTACGCGCTGGGAGCCACCACAGACAGTTTATGGTGTTAAGCGTGGTCAATGCTTTCCGGGTAGGCCATTTGTAAAGCACTGCACAGTAAGCTTTGTTCCGTTAACGTCTGGTTCACAGGGCTTTCTTACTACCAACCTGTGGGCTGGTTCCTTGTTGGTGGAAATGTACACCGGACGAGAGCACGATTTGAATGCGTTCCATAACGACGGGCAGCACAGATTCGGCTGTTTACGGGTATCCAACTTAGCAAGCACTCTGCTTTAGACCTGGGAGCTATACCAATACCGATGCACCTTGATATGCATGTTTTGTTCAAATGTTACAACTTCATTTGTGCATTGGATGCCCACAATTTCGATGAGTCGACTGAGTCGCTCATATAGGTCCACCCACATCTGTGGACGATTTTTCTTGAACGAATATTACACTGTGGGTACCCCAGTATCAAGTATCTCCGTAAATAATGGAGGTATAAAGACCGTCTGGTATGGACAGTAAGTTCTCTTCATCGACCCGCTCTTCACTTCAGGTCTCAAATCTCAAGCCTCACCTCAGAGTTTGAGTGGCCAACCATGTCCGCTTCGTGACGAAACACGCTGCTCACAGGTTTACTGAAAACAAACCATGACTTGCTTCGCCCTTTTTAGTGCTCTTCAGGTAAGTGCGAGATGGCTCAGTGGTTAGAGCGCGAATTTACTGACCGGAAGGTCCGCGGTTGGAACCCGACCTCTGCATCTCGACTTGCCGTGCCTAGGCTTGGACAACCGGGCGGTATTCCAGCCTTCGTGCACCCTTCGGGTGGCATGACAGCTAGGCACAATAAGCTCGTTACAGCTGAACGATTATTCAGCGAGTTGTGGCTAAACCCCATTTATGATATTCTTTAAAAGGTCAAAGGGGTTTCGGCAGTCTTATGAGTGGTGTTTCGTCAAAAAATATACTCCGGTATCTCGAACTTAGGCAGTCTTTGTGCAACACATTCACTAGAAGAGTGGTATAAACGAGAAATTCAGTTGGAGTGCCGCCGGGTCTCCCGTTAGCACATCAATCCGCACCTGAATATAGTTTAACAACCATCATTGACACTGCCTTCCATATTTGTTCATTCATTTACCACCGCCTCATTGATAAATTTTCTTACTCTTTCAGATCAAATTTCCACTGGAGACGTTCACATGGTACGGAAACGGCCTGTCGCTCGCGAGCTGGTCACGCGGGCCTCAGCGGTTTTACCGTCTTTCACAGATATATTTGATGAAGAAACATTTTACCTATTCTTTGCCTGTCTAGTCGTTTTGTCTTTTGTGGTTGCATTTACCGCCGCTTGGTATTTCGATCTTACAGTCACTGATGCTGGTGACTTGGGCTCTAAGAAGAGACGAAGACGATCAAAACTCAGGTAAATATATTGCTTTGCAGAGATATGCATTCAGAACTGGTCAAACACCCAAAATCTCTTGGGTAATATCACTCGTTATATTCCAATGTCATGTTATACCCAAAACGAGGAAATACGCGCGTGATGTTCACAGATCTTTGTTTTCAGGTCTGATGTTGTGACTCCGTCTGGAACTTTTGAACCCCGAGTCAGCTCCGACTGAAACCGTAAAGGATCTAAAATCCACTACAGGTCATAGAATCAGGCTCCTATGTATTATGATTCGCTATCCGACTATGCACTCCACTTTTGACTTCTGAAGAAGTGTCGTTAGCAATAGAGCTAATGTTTTGTGAAGGCTGATGGCGAAAATTGTGTGATAGTTGGTTCTCACATCATCTTCAGTCCTATCTTGCTCCTTTGTTATCCCAGGACTGGCAAAGCGGGCTTATCGGTTATGTTGTTCCCATCACACAGTACATTTATACTTCGTGCACTCTAGTTTAACGGCCCCAAGGTTATGACCCCTTATCGCATCTACGCTTAAACACTAGTTTGTCATGATGAGGGTCATGCACGTTGAGGCACTGGCCTTACCTTCAAATTCCCGCACTGAGGACAAAACCAAGTACCTGATGAGAATGTAAGTCGTAATCAGACTACATATTTACCAGCATGACTAGCCGTTGAGTTATTTTTTGAGTCCCAGTACGCATCCGCGCTACAGTGGCTGGAACATCGTTCCACAAGGTGAAACCATGCTAGGAAGACGAAAGGGGAGCAGTCAGACCAAGAGCAGCGAGCCTTCGTACTACGGGTAATCGTGCTACGAGGCGGTCTGGGGGTATGGTCGTAATGTCCTCTGCGATAGGAGTGTGAAGGCAGTAAGGTGTTTACCCAAGGCGACTAGTATATCCATATTTATGGAAGCAGCGATACTGCCTTCCCCCGAGGAAGAACGGGTTAGAAAAGGTCGGTCCCGAAAACCGCACACTCCGATCGCCAAACGGTTGGTCAAAATACTTTTAAAACCAAAGAGCCCGCAGCTGCTCAAAAGGCACTTGCTGTGCGCAGCCGCATCAAGAATAGACAGTAATGCCTTATTCCCTGCGCCCTCGGGTTAAGCCAACCCCCTACAGCCGAGCAGACCAAACTTTTGAGTCAAGGGATAGGGGCAGGGTCCCCGAACAAAACCCTACATTCTCTCACTGCCTTGTGAGTCAGACTTGAGCCAAAAGCTCAAGGTAGGGTACCTCAACCAAACCCCCTTTCTCGGTCTAGGCAAACCGGAAGTACCATTTGCCCGCGCAGTTCGGTGTCCACCGATGCCTGCCTTGACCCCCCCACCACCACACAAGTGAACGTCACTGGGTCACTTGACTGTCAGTTATCTAACTGAAGGGTCTTATGCTCCTTGCTGCCTATTAAAAATAAGCGAAATAGCACACTTCTAAATCCACGAGATCCTTTCTTTTAACGTCCATACTCTATGTCAAATTGGCAAACAGGCAATGCTTGATAAAACATCATACTCCTATAAAATTGATGTATGCTGTGTCTCCGAAACACGCATGCAAAATCCAAGCGTGATTATGCATCTCAGAACGCCAAGGACGAACCCAGCTTTTTCACATTCCTCACTTCATGTGTCCGTTGACCCAGAAGTGATGACTCGTGAAATTTATGGCGTGGGAGTCTCCCTGAGCCCCAGCGCTGAACGTGCTTTGGATCCCAGTCCGGTTATCCAGTTCAATCAAGCCCAGTGCCTCTCGGTATAAAAAGCGGTGCCTGTTTGTAGTATGCCCCAACGGACTGCAGTTCTGATGCTTAGAACGATACTTTCTATCGAGAGCTATCCGGGCTCATTTATCAAGCAAAAAGCACTGGCATTATGATCTTTGTGAGCGATATGAATGCTCGAGTAGGCCCTCTTAGCTCCTTGGAACCACATTTGGGCGGTCAGTCAGAGTCGATACTCGCCGCACAAACAATCTAGATCGACTCCTTTAGTTGTGTGCTGATCAACTGTTTTTGGCCAGTACGAACTTTCAGCATAAACGTTCCCATCGCGCAAACTGGCAGCCACCAACTGTAAATCAACCGTGGACCCATTTGGACCACGTGGCTATCAGCCACCGGTGGAAAGCCACAATTCAAGACTGCCGTTCTTTCTGGAGCACAACACTATTTCGATCACGCCTTGATGCATGCACGACCGACAGTTCGTTGTCATTTCGGCCGTCGCAAATTAGCAAGAAGCATGCCAATCCACTATTTTGGAAGAACGATTGTACCTCAACAGTACCGCTCTGAGCTAGCCCCACATCTCTCCACAGTAAACCAATATCGTGGTGGCAGTGAGCATGTGGATAAGGCGTGGCAAAATATGAAAGGAGCTATGTTAGCGGCGTTCAGGACTGTCCGTCCGACTTCTCCAATTCGACTACAAGACCACTGGGTGTCGTCGAAATCGCTATCCATGATTGATGCCAGGAAAGTCATACCAACAGGCAACGAGTACGACAGCGCACGCAAATCCCTCAAACGCTTGAGGAAAGACCGAGAGCTCTGATGGACATCGAACGCTCGGGACATGGAAAAGGCTTTTGCTACGGGAAACAGCCATACCCTGTGTCGACTGGCTCCAGAAAAGCAACGGTCAGCGAAACGTCCGCAAAAACGTCGACTGGAAATATGCACCGAACACTTCAGCTGGCCTCCTGCAACACAGCCTGTAGAGATAGTGCATACAGGCGAATGGAGTGTAAACGTTGAGCGCCCTTCGGAAGAAGAAACAAAGTGTGGAATATCCGTGCTAAAACATGAGAAGGCGCCAGGACCGGACGGTCTGTATCCAGCCCTCTTCTAAGAATCCCTGGCGATCCGTCTGACGAGGCTTATTGCTGTCTGCCGAATGGAGCATGTCGACAGTTACCCGTATCTCCAAAAAGGGTACGCGAACGCTGTGTGAAAACCACCGTGGCCTAAGCCTATTAGCTGTAGCATCGAATGTGTTCTCTGGTCTTATCCTTCGAAGGTTGACTGGACGCAGGGAGAGACACGTCCATGAAAACCAAGCTGGGTTCCGTCCTGCAGGAGGATGCGTCGATCATAGACTCTTGACCCTGCACACCAACTCCCGCGGCCGTGTGAAGGTCTACGGGAAGCTCTCGCCTGAGTTCATCACATCAATTGGTGCCAGACAGGGCTGTCTTCTTTCACCTTTCCTCCTCGGCTTCGTCATTGGTGCGATCGTGGAAGACTCACTGCCAGCCTGTAATTCCTGTAGGGTCGAAGTGCTCCCGGGGCGTCCGCCCACAGATATCGAGTACGCAGACGACGCAGCTCTCCTGAGATCTGACCCCGTGGTAATGCAAACAATATTTAGTGATCTAAATAATTGTGCCTCACGGTTTTGCATGTGCTTCACATGTGCAATGTGCTACTGCAAGACTGGGTGGGCTCGAACCCTAGCATCATGCTTGCGGATGGACCGATTGAGGTAGCAGACAAACTTGTTTACCTGGACGGCTGTATCAATCCCGGTGGTCTGGTGAAAGAAAAAATTGTTCAGCTGTAGCACCCTTTCGGTGCCTAACTGCCATGCCACCCGAAGGTTGCACGAGGGCTGGAATACTGCCAGGTTGCCCAAGCCTAGACAGGGGAAGTCGAGAGGTTGAGGTCGGGTTCGAACCACGAACCTTCCGTTCGGTAAATTCGTCCTGTACCTACTTGGGCCATCTGGTGAAAGAGGATACTTCCATCCGGATCGGGGTAGGGGCAGAGCAGCTTCTGTGAACCTGCGTCACCTGTGGCGTAGGCGTGACATCAGCTAACTTTCAAAGGATCGAGTTAACAATGCTGCGTGAGCTCCATGCTGCTCTATGGATCAGAAACCTTGCCGTTGCGCGCCGAGGACGTCAAAAAACTTTCAGTGTTTGACCATCGATGTCTTCGGAGCATTGCCCGAATCTGGTTGGAACACTGGATCAGCAATTCTGAAGTACATCGAATGGTATTCGGAAGAAATAACTCACATTCGATAGATGAAATGGTTACACCGTATCGTTTGCGCTGGCTTGGCTACGTGCTGCGTATGCCAATCGACCGACTTCCTCGAAGGGTTATTTTCGCACATGCATGTGAAGGGCGGAAGTGAGCCAGAGGCAGTCAAACGACTTGGCAGCGAAGTGTAAAATCCATTACCAGCAAACTCAGCTGCGCTTGTCATTACCGTCTTTCTGGATGAGGACCCCGAGACGGGCCGCGTCAATGGCTGGAAAAGAAAGCGTTCAGCTGTAGCACCCTTCCGGTGCCTAGCTGCCATGCCACCCGAAGAAAGCACGAGGGCTGGGATACTGCCAGGTTGCCCAAGCCTAGACAGGGGAAGTCGAGTGGCGGGGGTCGGATTCGAACCACGGACCTTCCGGTCAGTAAATTCGCGCTCTAACCACCTGGGCCATCTCGCCCCCATCAATGGTTGAAGACATTATCAGACATGGCCCAGTCGCACCCTCAATGGCGCTTGTGCATCCAAGCTATTGCCTTCAATGCATAGCTCCCCTCCCAAGTCCTCCAACTAAACAGCCCACTGATCGTGCTGTATTTACGCTCAAATTCATCAGTTCCCGCCTCCAATGCGCAGCTACCTACCCCACTTACCCAATTCATCGGTGAACAAAACTGTGACAGCTGCAACCACTGCACGACAAGTTCGCGTTTCTTACAGCTGACAGTAATGATATGATCATTTAAACACTCGCAGTCAGGGCGCCATGTGGTCTGAAATACTCACGGTGCATAGGAAGTTCCCGAAGCCGATGGCGTCCCCCAATAGTTGGAAGTACTTTATTTGTAGAATGAATGACCTAACAAGATCGAGCAACTGTTTTTTTTCTCGGCGTTTTTTTTTTGGTTTGATCCATCCAAATCATCCCGCTGCACACCATTCGTTCCGTGTCCTTGTGCTTTTTGCCTGGATTCGGCACCACCTCTCCGGGGTCAGCAATCGTGACCGGATTTATTCTCCATCAAATCTGATCCACATCTTCAAGAAGCATTCGACAGAATACTCGTCGGTATCTCAAGGAACCCAATGTGTTTTAACGCGACGAAACTCAACCGCATATCTGCAAGAACGATAGGATTAACTGAGTGTCAAGACATCACCTTCGCCAGTCAGACTGCCTACGGTCCCAGTATCGATGGGTGTGACAGTTGGATTTCAACCATACTTTCGAAGGCTGGAATTTGCACATGGTTAAGAGATGCTCGAGCTTCAGTTCATCTCGCAGCACAGATTTCACAATGTGTCACTAATACTGTATGAACGCTCCAAAGTTATGTTAAATAAAAATGAAGATTGTGTTGTTTCAACACAACATTCATGCATGAGAATATCTGTTTGTGTTTTTGACAATTACTTGTAATTAACTTAATCGCAGGGTTCAATTGGCAAAGTTCTCCTGATTGAGGACAAGTCTTAGTGGTCGGGTACAGTGACTAACCAAACACAATACAGCTATGTATTCGTCTCATTTTATCCCACTAAACTTACTTTAAAAGGCATAATATTGAATTATTGAAAATCAAGACGACTTCCGGTGGTCCAACCTTAATGGCTCTCTGGATGGAAGTCGTCGGAAAAGTCTTGTGTCAGATCACAGACCTTGTTTGCTGGCTGGCGCCCACAGGCAAGTTGCATTGTTTGAAAGCTCCTTTGAGACAAGAGATCCCCTTATCAATGAATAGGTCCTCTGACAACCGTAGCTTCTTCCTTTTCAGTTGGACTAACCGGATCAGATTTAGCGCCGTTGAGACGACGATGGTCTTCGTAACTAGGCGCTTCGTTTCATATGATTCAATATCCATGCACAGAGTCGCCCGACTGATAGAGGGTCAGAGGGCATCACGTACCGACGAGTCGTCAAATTCACAGCTCAATAACCAATTGAATGTGACGCCACATTTACTGCTATCGCTAGGTTTGGAAGTTAGATGTCCATGAAGATATCCGCGTGAATAAAAATGAAAATCTGCCATTTCTGCAACTTTTCCAAGTATTGGACGATTTTTATACTGTAATGCTTCACCAACCCTATCATAAGTGATCCAAAGCAATTTAAAAAGGAACAGTTTCAAATCCTTGACCAGCATGCATGTAGACGGGCCTCTCCATATTCACCGTCATCACTATTACATCTGGTCGAATTCTAGGTCCATGGCTAATGACTCGGTAAATGTCAGGTCGCCCGCAAAAATTAATATCATCGGATTGTTAAGATGGGTCAACAGCCAGATACACCAAGTCACTTGTGACAAAGACGACTGTACCGTGTTGGGTAATTTTCCACATATCAGGCGATGGTGGGTGAAAGGGAATCTCGGACTTCCCATTGAATAGGTATGTGCCACCATTTTGCATATCTCAATCCTACGCTGTTCTAGTACTGGACTAGTTTGGGTTATCGGTGTTCGAAAGAAGTAATATTTTGTCACGTATTCATGGGGAAGAAGCAGGGTTGCTAGGAACCACGCATGTAACAAACGCGGTTGACTCCTACGCAATGCTTCTACTCCTGTTTTATTGTCGCTTAGTTCCCCAACAGATGTAGGTGGTTCTCGGTGACGCAAAGCGTCTGGCATTTAGAAAGATCGAACAATAGGAAAATCGATAAACGCCTCAATCCTCTCAATGCGATTCGACCACGAAGACACCTAATACCTACAGTTGGTGGGTAGTCGAACACGCATCACCTATGGAAACCGCTTGTTCAAGGCTCACACCCGCATTATTTTTATCGTATTGCCTTTTTCAGGGTCGATATATGGTGATGTATGTGCCAATAGGTCACGGAGACTAGTTCATAATCAGCAAACCTCCCTAAGTCTTGTGCTTCCAATGACACTTGATGTTATTCCATACCTATTCACATCGGTCTATGGAGCTCCGAAAAGGCTTTTGTGACTAGCCAGTTTTTCTGTCCATATATGTGAATACAGAAACACAATTCGCCTCCCGCTTGCCTGTGCCCCACAGTAAACTAGATGTAATCGAAAGTCTGTTATCATTTTTTTTGCAGATTCAGCCCACCCGCTGAGTCCAAGGATTCCAATCAACGTCCTGCGGTTCCGTTGTAAACACTAGAGGTGGATGACCGCATTTCGTGATACTGAATTTTATCGTTACTTTTTTCCTTCGAGTTTATCAATATTGTATTCTTCTTGTGACCTGGGTGTGCCACATCTTCCCTTGTGATAGACCTCTTTAACTTCGCATAATGGATTCCTCCGTCAACCGTGCAATTTCGTCAAAGAATTTGAGTTTTGTGACACTATGGGCAAGGAATTGAAAGCTAATTGGGAAGGGGAGACGCATAAGCGTATTTATGCATTTTGGATTATATGATTCTGCGATCGAAGGATCTCTACTCGATATGCACAGTTCCAGTGGTGCTGGGGATGAGCTTACCTTGTGCGGATTCATTCAAGGATAAAATTGTTTCCTCCATAACGTTCAGTAGTTTTGCCAGCGCAACTTGATACATCTTAATCTAGTGCCAAAACCCCATATACCTGAGCGCGACTGCAACTATGCAATATAAAAAAATACTCGGTAGTCACATGGGAGAATCCCATGCAGAACTACAAATTCCCAGGGAAAAACAAGCATGACGACGGAAGATGAACCTATATGTTTAACGGTATTCGCGATATTCGCAGGAATATCCCACAAGTCGTACAGGCCCTACGTCTAAGTCGTCGCTCGGAGAGCCAGTTGGTCGGTAGCGCTGGGCTGTATTGGAGCAAGTTGATTATTCGGATCAGCCACTTGGGGCTAGTCAGTGTATTGCCAAACCACCAACCGTAAGTTCGCGAGTTAAAATCCCCTTGGGGCTTGTGAGATGCACATTGCTGAGGATGAAACAGCTGTAGTGTTCCTCTGCATAGACAAGTCACTTTCCGGATGAAACTTGAAACCTTCTCATCACCTACACTGATGCGCTTATACTGAGCAAGCGCTATCCTGAATGTCACAGAGCGCCAGACTCCGTTGCTATCGCCACCTAGCGTACACGAACTAGATTTGAGGGTGTCAACAGATTGATACTCATTGTTCACGCAGCACTTATAAGTAAACGTGGCGAACCGAAAAGGAATATACCTAAAACTATGACTGTTTCATGCGCAAATAGCAGTGAAAAGCTGCAGAAACAAGGTTAAACACGTCCGCCACCATTAGGTGTACCAGTAACGGCAGAACATGGGTCCTTGGGAGGTTAAAAGAATTCCAGTAGTTGCTACAGAGAGATGATGGATGAGATAAGAATAGCCTATATATTGCTGACAGAAGCCCACGGCAGCTCCTGGAGTTGTTTAGCTGCTTGTTTGAAGGACAAGTGAATTGTGCGCTCATTGCATTTCGGTTGACCAACGCAGGTGGAGTTTGCAATTATTTGAACAGGTTGAGTTTCTACCAAGCCTCGTGTCATTCACTAGTATAAAAGTGGGGACGAAGGCGTACAGTTCACGTCCTTATAGCCAAAAAGAACGTGGATGTGGGGTGGCAGGTATTTTCAGTGCATCCAGCGGAGGTCCGAACTCGGGGCCTCAAAATTCAAACCTACGGCTTCATGCACTGGGTGCGGACGGATGATACAATTGAAATAACAGTTACCTATGGATTCCGGTTCACAATTTGACTGATGCACGTAAGGTGAGGCCACAACCTGCCCCTATTCGTTTAATTTCTCAGTTGTGCGCGTCCTTATTTGTAGGCTGCGTGTGTTTTCAGCCTTCATCGGAAGTTTAAGAAGTCGCAGTCAGTGCATTGACTTAAGAATGATACGAGGCAAGTGAATACACGATATATTAATGTTGTTCAGGCACCTATGTGAGGAAGTAACAGCGTGAAATCAAGGTAAAACTGAACGTCAAGTAACAGTCCATGTGCAACGCCACTCGTCAGCAGAAAAATGTAGGGAATCCAAATTCCACCGTGGAGCTGGAGAGGTAGATATGTCCTGTATTAATTTTCCCGACAACAGCTTTGTCCATTCCAAGGTCATTTGGGAAAATTCCGTTACTGAAAGGGAATGAATAATGAAAAGGCAATTTGCGAGCCTTTCTTACTGGATTGGGTTCATCATGATCCTCCTCACTTACCGCATCACTCGTGCCTTATAACCGCATACCAACAGTCTGCTGACAGGGGCCCGTTTAGGAGACAATTTGCTGAGACTCTATTGTTAAGCGTGGTTTTCCTGTGCTAATTGTAGGCTACCATCACCCGAATGTGAGCTTCTCATACCTTGTTTAAAAGTCTAATAGTCTTTAGGCGGCAGCAGACAGAAACCGCCTCACATCCGTGGAGGTTTGCTTGGTATACTGGAAGTAGCGATTGCAGCTCATAGAGCAAAATTATACTCTGGACGGATGCCAACCTCGTTAACAGGTTTCTTTGTTTACTAAATGACATAGGGCGTTTACAAAGCTTCAGTGAACCTTTTGAAAAGTTTCATTCAAAACGTCGGTTCTCACAGTTACGTTATCGCAGACATTCACCGGCAGAGGCTTGATCGACGAAATTACTGACGCACCGAGAACTAGTGTCCAAGTGTGCAAGTGAACTCGACGGACAAAGATACTAACCGTGTGGCGAACATAAGCATTACATGGCAGCAAGGGCATCTGTCACAAGTTGCACTTCGCGTGGGGCAAAGCGACTTGTAGCTTAGTTTGAGCACCGAAACGCCTTACAGTGGACTAGGATAAGCTGAACCTTCAGAGAAGTGGTACCCAGCTTGCAATCGAGAAAAAGCTGTTTCCTACCCACGGCCGTCCCGATTTTTTCCACCTTAGAATAGTCAGTGAAAACTTTTTTCGAGAAGGACAAGAACAATTAAATAACCAAAACACGTAATCCGCTGCCTCGTATACTAATGCACTTCTAACGAGGCCCTGGCACGTAAACAGCGGCTCGGTTCGTTTTCTCCCTCGGCCTGAGACGGCATAATACAAGTTAATTACAACAAATTTACCTAAGAATGCTAAATGTGAAACTGGCAGCTGTCTTTCGCTGAACATGAAAATTTGCTTGCGGACGCTCAGTCACCGATTGCGGAGACATCAGTGCGCAAACGATTGGTGACCAGACGTCCGCAAGAAAATTACCAGGCTCGGTGAATCGATCAACAGATACCTGATCTACAACCAAATAAGTATGACACTGCAATCAACACATGTATCTCTGGGGTTCTTCATGGACTACTCGTTTTAGAATTGAGTGTTCCCATACACTAACACTTCACAGTCGCACTTTTGATTCCTGAACGACCACGATTTCCATTCCAATCGGTCAGACTGGGATCTTCAGATGGGTATTGATGGAGGTGAAATCGGTGGCCAAGGTTCACCACAGGAGCTGTCTGAACGAATACCGTATTGATCGCGACTGTTGGGCTGTATTTACAAGAGATAGTTTTCTGTGAGCGCTATTTGAGGGCCACATCACGCCTGCTGTATCTAGAGCATGGTGGGTGTTTCAGCGCTGACCGGCTCTTGTGAGTGGAATGGGCGCTGCAACCGGACCCTGATTGGCAATCATACTGGACTGCTTAATTGCGCCCTGGCTCGTGTTTCTTTCAGATTACCAACACAGACTGCTGCTCTGACCAGTACCGATTTTGCTGTCATTCAACCCGTAAGAAACAGAGGCCAGTTAGGAGCACATTCAGGAATGGAACAATTAATAGCAGATATCTAGTAGTAACTTTTCTCTTTGATTTTTGTCATTTCCATAAGGAAAACAATGACAGATAGGTATGTCATCCAGCGTCGAGAATCGATCTAGTTGTGAAGTTTTCGCAGTCACTTTTCAACTGGACAGTTTTACAGCCCAGGAAACCGGCGAAAGTGTGAATTTTCGCTTCGTTTAATTAGTTGGAAGGTGCCTCGTTCGGGGAGAAAATTCACTCAAATTGTACCTGAAGCCACCCAATTTTATCGCAAAGTATATGTCCAAACTGGAAGGTCTGATGGTGGTCTAATGAATACACCGTTTAGTGTGGGACTGTTTAAAGCCGGTGCCGGATGACTGGACAGAGATCATTTTGGTCACATATAATCAGTTAGAACAACTCACATCTTATGGCCTGTATGGGTAACGAGCCAGTTTACGCGGAAAACCCGACTGTTGAGCTTAGCGGATGTGTCAAGTGGAGCAGCAATGTGTGACTAAACTAATGGTAATGGGCGACAGAAGGAAAGATTGCAGACGGTTTGATGCTGGACGGTGAACACAGTAAAAGAAATAAATCAGTCCAGTCGAATTTGACCTTTGTGAATCTGCTAGATCGCAGAGCACGCGTCTTTTATCGTTATGAGATATGCTAACTCAAAGCAACGTGTGGGAGGAATAAAGGTTTACATAAGACAAACTGAACTACGGATAGCTTGTACTTCTCTAATTCCGATTGCAAAACCCATGCACCTGGTGTGATGGGTTGAGAAGAAGATGGGTTGAACAGGTACCAGTGCAACAATGCCGTTGGACTATCATAAGTAAATAAAAGTTGGACAACCACAAGGCAAGGATGAATCAGTATCCACAAATACGAGGCTAGTTCTGTGACTTCACTGTACGGTTACAACCGTTTACTTAGCTGCAACTATCCACAAATCTTTTTCCACCAAGTAAGGACAACAGCGAATAAGGTAAGTTATACCAAAGCGAAAAGATTGAACTTTACGGTGCCATAAAGTGGAAATATTTGTGAGGATGGAAAAAAACTAACCCTATACGATTCAAACAACGTGAATTCATACCTGTTTTTGATTGTCTAATTTTCTTGACTTCTTCAGTCGGGTAAAAATTAAGGGGAAGCTGGAAAGGAAAAGAAATTGTGCACACTACTCAGCAGATAGAATGAATTTGCTAAAGTAACGACAGGATATGGGCGAGGACAGTCGTAAACCTTCGAAAGTGAACGATTTACCCTTGTGTTAATGCGCAAGTGCCACATTCAGAGGTTTGTTGGCCAGGCCAAAGAGAGCAGAGTAACAGTTGGGTTCTTCAAAATACTAGCACTAGTAGTGGTATCAGTGCTCACATGCGGCTCTATGAGGGAAACCTGACCTTCAGACAGCAGAATAGCTTGTGGGGGGCCGCAATAGGTTTATTTTGAGGCCATACCGGGAGTTCATCCCAAATAGTGTGACTATAACGAATAAGAAAAGGTGAATTTCGCCTGAGAGGAACACGCGGTGCTCTTGAACTTAAGGTAATTCTCAATGCGCAGACATTAACCGGACTACTCGAACAATTCAATTCCAATGAATTGGTAGGGTAGGCTCATCTCAAACATTTGGCTGCATGTCTTGTTCACTCCGACCCTAGTGTAACTGTCGCAGATGTACTTTTAGTGAATGGATCGTGGCCAAAAATGTCCTAATCATCATAAACGTCACCTTACAAATTGGTAATACACCCTTATGAGAATGAAACTGTGGAGGCGGGAAACGCAGAGAACGTTTGTTTAAAAAAGGTTAACTAGTGATGGGTCATTCGGCAGATTATCGACCTTCAATACTTGGTATGTCAAGGGATTAGGCCATGTGACTGACTCCAACTACGCCGACCAGATGTATCCGAATAGTGGCAAAACACATCCCGTTGCCGAGCTTTCCAGGACTCCACTACAGCCATACCAATAAGTGTTGTTTGTCAAGCGCCTACATTACACTGATCAACAGCATTTTTTAATCAGCGAATTGCACCCGGTTTACTCAGCCCATTAGGGTCACAGCTGCACGTAAACCATACACCCATTTGTGTGAATAACCAACTGAATCGCATTTGCGGTATTTACGCTTAGGATTCTTTCGCCGACTGAGATGATTGCTAATTGTACATAAACACTGCGCTTCGTTCCAGTAAGAAATGTCTAGTGAGCAACTTGTTAGTAATTGCACACACGAAGCGTGAAAGAACATCTTCGAGCCGAACATCTGCGCTGAAGGCTCGTGGCCAATAGCGAATAATCCCCGGTGCAAGCAACGCACACAAGACGTTGAGGTAGTATCACCAAAAATAAAATTAATTCTATTTCTATGGAAAGCCTCCATCATGACGTGCGTTAGAAAACTGTAGAAGTAGCTGTCGGCTTTTGTGCAGTTCGACAAGACAAGGTTTTCGGTTCAATCCCATTATCCTTGGAAGCGCTTTTATTCTCAACTGACTTTCAAACTACGGTGGCAACCGGAATAGCACAGGAGCTGTTTTCAAACAGTCCACTGGGCTGGAAATCTCATTAAGGTAACCAAATGGCATTATCACTTTTTGAAATACTAGCTCAGCGATCAAGAAGTAAGCTACTGGCCAGAAAGTCTATTTTGAATCGCTCCTACCGTCAAGATCACACAGACCAACATTCTTAGCTTATTCCCTTTCTTCGGCGTTTTGAACCAACCACGCTTCACGATCAGTTGTACCTGGCGTCGGACGAGGCTTCAAGTTGGATTATGCTTGCGACCGCATGGAATATGTCACCTGGCCTCCAGCAAAGTGACGATCCGATCGGAAATCCAGTGACTGAAGAGTGGTTTGGGCTGTACCGCGGTAGAGTTTTGGATATCTCTCTGGGGTGACCGTTAGCATCCGATATCGGACCAGCAGGCAGACGTTGTAGGATATGTATCTTCGTCTACGAGGTTTTCAGTGGCCAACTGGGTTGTTTTAGGTTAACAGTAAAACATCAACGAAAAGCAGTAAACGACAAGTATATGACTGGAGTCTACACGGGCTCTCAAGAAGGAGCGGTAGGTACTGAACCATTCTGGTCATCCGTCTATTTGGGTTTTCGGTTGGTCCATTAGTGGCCACCACATGGTCAAATGATTCCTTATGATTCAAAATTTGAAGTTTGTTATCAGAAAATAGTTGAAGAAAATAGCTGAAGTAGGCGTTTGTAGATGACACGTTCGTTGTGATAAAGCGAGATAAGGTGAGTGAATTCTTTCAATATATGGACACTGTGAACCCTCACATAAAGTCTAGTATGGAGCTAGAGTCCACATCTGGTACACTTGACTTGACTGCATGACACACAAGAGTAGTGGAAATCAACAGATAGCGGTGCGGTCTTAAACCACTGCTCAGCACATCCAAAAGCAGTATATGCTAGTATAGTTTCAACGATGTTTGGGAGAGTGAAAGCACTGTGTACAGGGGAGGTCGACCGAAGAGCAGCACAACTTGAGGTAAGAAAGCGTCTTCAAGATCGCAGATACCCAGCAGGTTTAATTAAGTGGTAACTAAGACGGGTATTGGTGCCTACACCAAGGCCCAACAAGGAGTGAGTCGGAACAGCGGTCATTCCATACAAAACAGGGACATCTAAAGTCATTAGAGGGATACTGAATACGGCTCACATTAGAGTGGCGTTCCAGAAGGGAAAGACTTAAGCTCGGTGTTGGTGCATTTGAAGGATCGCCTTCCGGTTGATAGGACTAGGAGGTGTGTATACAAAATAAAATGTAACGACTGTATGAAGGTTTATATAGGTCAGGCAGCCGGGGAATTGCACACCATAATCGGTGAGTATAAGCGTTTCACTATCAGACTACCGAAAAACGCAGATGAGTACAAGGCGTCAGTCAAAGATTCGGAAAGGGTAGGGCATCCACTAGACACTGGCCATAGGATAGATTTAGAAAATATGGACATCCAGAAACGGGGTTTAAGATTCACACCACAGGGACTGGTGGCCGAGGCGCTGGAACTCGCCAAGCACCCCAGCGTGAATAGAATAGAGGGAGTAGAATTTGCAAACGCGTGGAGAGCGGTCTTAGATCAACCGGGATGACACGAGGCAGTGTGCAGTTATCAGCGAATTAGTTTGGGTCCAAAAGTACAAAATCCAGGCAGAGTTAGATCCAATTAACCACCCCACCGCCATTCCCGAAACCAATAGTCCCGGCACCCTGTGACGAATACAGGTGAACGGAATATGTGAACGACCCCAAGAGGAATTTTCCATTAAGTTGTCCTAGGCTGAAAAAGCAAGGACGAAAAATCCGGGTTCATCATGAAGACAAATCCCTCTAACCAACCTACCGTAAATCTTAGCCATCCCCACTGATCAACAAACAGGAACATCAGACTGAACACCCAGCACTGATCAAGTCGGCTAGTCATAAGAAATCTCACGGATGGGTTCCCTGACTGCCTTAAAACCCAATCAACCTACTCACTTACTCACTTGGCCTGACGAATCTTTTGTGTCAAAAGCGAAACGTTACCCAACAATAAATCCACCGACTGTTTACCAAACCGTTCTGAAACGATGAATTCCCAACCGGTCACAAATATTTTCCTATTGATTGAGGACCGGTCGCCTCTTGTTCACCATTTTTAAGCATATAATAGTTTGAGTACATTTGAATTACGCAAGTGGTACTGATTGCAAACTAAACGTCCCTGACCCAAGAAAAGAGATCATCCCTAGGGAACCACTTCATAGAAGTGAGAAAGCGAGCACAATGTCCCAAACATGAAAACCTGATGGAGTTGTTACAACTGAGAAGAATTTGAATTCTGGAATCTCGAGTCACAGTGAATTTGTGTTTGTAACATTTAGGCACATCGCTCTAGCATTATTGCTACAAGATAACCGGGAAGGCACAAAATAGGAAAACCGTAGGTATAGAACCATGGTGAGTTCTGATTGAAGCTCATCGAAACTACTCGACAGTGGTAACTCACTTTATTCAAGAACACCAACAACTCAGCATGCAACATGGACATCAGTTGATCCATGAGCTGACAACCATGGACCAGAACGATGTGAATCGTTAACGGTGAAGAGTTTGGTGCTTCAAACATAAGAGGAAATAGGGTCATGTGTTTTGGAATTTGAAAAAAGACAACCAAGAAAAACGCGAACTAGACTGCTCCCCTAGGACAAACTTTGTAAATAAAACGACGGCCGTGGAAATTATTCCATTTTCTGATAAACTAAAGGTGGGAGGTAACGAGAAATTCCACCGATAAAGACCAACTGTAAGCAGCGATAGAAATAGGCATCTCGAACACATATTCATCAACGAGTGAAGCCTCACGAATCTTTGTTTACCGGAAACATAGTGTGACAGGCGCTTGGATAAAGCGTAGGTAAGCCGTTTGAAAAATATGACTGTCAACAGCCGCTCAAAACCGATGCATGACCACCTGATCTGATCAGCAACACATTTGTTCAACGTCTTGAAATCAGGCAAACAGAGGCAAACAATGTACTTGTCTCTGCAAATTGTTCTTGATCACTGTAGTGATTAAGCTGTACACAGCCTGCTGAAACAAGATCATCGGATTGTATGCTATGTTGTGCTTCTTACTTAGTTGGCATGCTATGTGTGTGAACCCGTAGTGATACTCAAAAAGGTACAAACTAGCCGTGATGTGCGGTGGATGTGTAGCAATCGCCAAAACAAGGAACCGTTAAAGTAACTCAAGGAAACACTGTGAAGTGAAATGAACCTCGTTGCCAAGAAGGATCCTGGAAAAGATCTCAAAAAACTGGAAATCCGTTGAACCAAGGCTACGAAGATCAGTCGGAAAGAGAAAACAAGCTAGAGGTGAATGGCGAAATTGTCCCGTGCAATGAAATGTGATAATAGAAGGAAAGGGGAGACTGAGAGCTTTGTTCAATAATTGTCCTGCCGATTCGCTGACACCTATTTACGTACCTGAGATATGAAACGAACGTACAAACATACGTCCAGCTACTCATACCAATCACGACTCATGAATCCATACCCCTTAGTCGCATCCGGGTAGTGACGGTTAGCCCGAGGACACTCTAGTTACGATATAACGGATTCGTGAACCTCACAAGTTCGAGACCGTAATAGGTCAACGGAATCTCATGGATATACATCTGAGAAAATGAGCTCTTTTCTTGGATGATAGCTACTGTTGCTGTAATGCTATCCAACTGGTCCATTTTGAAGCAATGACCATAGTAGTCTAAAGCCACGAGTCAATGCTTCCTTTCATGCTCAAAATGTTCTTTTGAAGCGAACTTCCATGGATACCGTAGATTCTGCGAACCACCGTTGTTTATATTCTGTCATTAGCGCGACACACACTGCACTCTAAGACAACCTTCTGTTTGGCTTGCCATCCCCGGCCAGTAATACAACTCAATGGCTCTTTTGATAATTCCGTTAGCTCCCGTGTACAAACTATACGTGCCTTAGAATTATTTCTTAGCCTATAAGCGATCCTTAGGTCACTCAAGGCGAAGACTCTTAAAAGAAGGCCAGCAACTTAGGCAAAAATTTCTATTTTGTTTATGACAGACCTACAACCTACATCCGGCAAGTGAAAACCGAAGAGTACTGTACAGTAGTCTCATTACTGTTTGCAACCGGTGCCTCAGTGATAACTGTGCTAATTCGCTTTGACAACTTTTTTGTCCGCTATCTCAGCACCATAGTACCTACTTGTGAAGCAAATATCCTGTTGGATGGGAGGAATTTGTTCTGATAATTTACCATTCCATTCGTTCTGAACATCGCTTAGGTAGGACATTAACAACGGAAATGACAACGACAAGCTTATGAACAAATCGAATTAACCTCCTCTGAAAAGTATTACAGCCTGAATAGCTTTCGAAGTCCTCTGAAGGAACGACGCCAGCGTGGTTAGGTGGCCTGATCCCCCATCTTGTACCAGAAAAATGACTGCATTCTGCGTAAACATGAGCCAGCTTACTTCTGTTGCTGGACAACCGACGATGAACTGGCTTTTGTTAAGGTATCGGCCCCACGACGTAGGTCTCGGGATGTGTCGTCTCGACTAATAAGTTATTCACGAAAAGGGATGGCTTTCGGTTGCTTGGAATGTCCTGACTTTTATCTAATTCGTCGGTCCATCAACTGGTGTAATTACCCGAAAGATGATTCCTCAAAGTGATTCGGTTCGCAGTTGTTCGAACACTATTTTCGGAACCTATGCAACTGATTAAGCAACAAACATTGATTTATATAAGATTAACAGTCTGAAGTGCACCGGTACGTAACCCAAACCAGCGCCAAAAGAAGAAATGCCTTTTGTAATCTGCCAAAACAGTTACGGCACAAGGTTTTCACGAGCAAACTCCATAACCTCGGTCGCCTTCAAAACTAGAATGGGTCTGAAGTCTTGGAAGGTTACCACAAGGTCAGAAGCGTAGATATTCTCCTTTCGTACACTATCCTTTCTGTGCACTGATAGCAATAGACGTGGGGGCATTTCACATATGCAGACTGGCTCCAGCCAATGAGAGGAGCGTAGACGCAGTGACAGATATTGATGGAATCGGTGAAAATTAGCTGTGCAAGTTCTTTGTAACTCCACTCAAGAGCACCTAAACTGCTGCGCACCAGGGTTCCTCACACTGAGTCGAGCATATTTCTTTTGTAAATGGTTTCGGCGGAAGAACTGTTTTTTCAACTGATCCAAGCGTGATGGGGCGAGAAGGGTCCACTAACCAGAGGGTCCGTGGTTAGAACCCAACCTCTGCATCTCGACTTCCCCTGTCTAGGCTTCGGCAACCTGGCAGCATCCCAGCCCCCACGCTTTCTTCAGGTAGCATGGTAGCTAAGCACTAAAAGGGTTCTACCGCTGAAAGATTTTTTATCCAGGCGCCATTTTTAGAATGTGACCATCACCGGTGCCTGACACGTTGATTATCTTCAAAAAATCAGTGCACTTATGTCGAATCGAATGCCATCTCCGACTGCGTGCTGGAACAGCGTTCGTCGAAGTTCCTTCAACTCCGTACCAAATTCACTCAAAAGTATAGGGTTTTCAGCCTTTCTTTCGGTGTTTACAATTCTCTGCAATTCTGATAAGACTATTCAGTGGTGCCACTGGCGTCAGTGGTTGGATTTCATCCGGAGGTTGATAAGTTGACCTCTGATACGGTGCCCAAAAGACGAGTCTTGTTCAGGAACCACTCACTGATGCAATAATCAGTCAACCTTCTTGGAAGTGAACATGCCTGGTTAAGCAGGGGCACAGGCTTCATCTCAGTAAACGTCCGGTCACTTGATCTACGCTGAAAGTGCTACCAAGACGCCATCAAAAAGGATTATCTTGAGCGGCAGCCTACTTCACGCAAATGAATCGAAATCACATTTAAACCACGTGAAATGGGGTGGAATAACTTCCGAAACAAGGAGGCAACTTACAATGTGATGTTGCCCGCCAGTTGGGGCAGTAGAGCAAATATTTCTCTTGAGAAAACACATTGATCAAATCCTTCAAGTTGTACTGCCTGAAGTATAAACAGATAGGGATAATGGTACACGCCAAGCCAATGAGGTTATGTTCTGACCTTGTTGAACATTGGTACTGAAAAGCTAAGTGGGTAAATTTTGAACGTTCATAATACAGATTGGTAACTTTTTTCAGATCATTCTATTTGGCTATCCCCCACAAAGCAAAGGGGAAGTACGTTTAGGATACACACAAACACCAATACAGAGTGAAACCACTCTAGATTATCAACTCACTCTTTATTGGGAAGTGTTTGCAGGGAACAACCAAGATGAATACGCGCGTTGCTAGCAGGAAACAAGATGGGTTCTCGTGAATTTACCCATTCGATGGATGGGAACGGGATTGCCGTGGACTCTGAAACGCTTGGGCCGTGAAACAGTCGTTGTCTCAGCCATTGTTGGACTGCGATATGGAAACGGTTGCGATTGAAGGTGGATAACCTAAGACATTGAACAGCCCGATAGTTGGCGTACACATGAATAAAGGTCAGGATGATAAATCCAGTCCAAATAACACTGAAAAGTGGTGAACGTAAAATGCGACAAATAGTTACAGGTCGATATTCTGCTCGTTAGGAACCACGTGTAAACTTCAAGGAAAGACGAATCGCCAAAAAGAATCATACTGAAATGCGAAATTACGGGATGGCGCTGCAAAACTAGTCGGGAACGAGGAATCACATCAGGAGAATAAAAGTTGAGGCCCTGAGTAAAGAATTGGGGCGCTGAATATTCAACACTTTTCCTCGCAGATGTTATGGACCAAATACTTCAAAAAGTGTGCGAGGCAAGTAATGGGGAGACCGGATAATGCTGAATTCCTGTTTGACACTCCATGTACTCAACTGAGAAAAGCCAAAGGAGGGTCTACACTGCATCACGGTCAGAAAACCTTACGAAAGCCGGTTTAGGTATCTCACGTCAGAAGAATCAAATCCACACTCGGCTACTGTGACTCAGTATATGTGGCAATCCTGCTGTGATTACGCAAATCTAAAATGCGAATTAAAAGGCTTCAGTATGAGCTAACCTTGCGAAATAACAAAGATAGACAATCGCATCATATTACTTTTCATTCGCCCCATATTTTCCTGTTTTCCAAAGCATTTTCCCATAATTGCCTCAGACGCCTACTGATAATGTGTCAAAAAAAAGTTGGTGTAGTCCGACAAAACAGAGAAAACGATGAAAACAATAGATAGGTTGGGAGTAAGTGGGCACAATGTTAACGACTACATAACTTTACTGCGTAACTGAGATATCCTGCTATCCATCATGTGGACGCCTAATATTTCCCGCCTAGCGAGTGTCTGAGACGCCCTAATACGGTTTGCAGAAGTTCGCTTTTAAGTTATATGCACACTAAACCGAACTTCTTTTCGAGTGAAACGTGCAGCAAAGACGCCTAGTCAAAGCCACTGGCATCAAAAATGGCCGACAGATTGTAGCTGACATAACCGAAGCAGAAGAACGACTTGTCAGCTCCGCGAACCATCCGAAATAATCACTGACTAGCAGCTTCGGAACTGCAATAGTGCCCAGCAAGCACATATTCTTTGTGTCCTCCATAGAGATAAACTAAGCTGTCACCTACCAACATACTCAACCATTCTGTTCTATGTTGTTTAAAGGGCTGAGAAAGGGTATGAAGTGCCCATGAAGATTCGGGTGCTGATTACAACTTAGTCCTTGAGTTCGTGTAAGGTATATGCTGAAACTTTTGACACTTGCCAACTTGGTTGCTACATTTATCCCTTCCAAAGGACCTGAATCAGGCGAAATGTGGTAGTTTCTTCCCACAACAGTCTCAAGGCCCGAGGTGGTTATCATGGAAATTTCTACAAAAATCGGTGCGATTGAAGTGAGAAACAAGAAAAATGACTCCCAATTTTACAGATAACCTTAGAAAATATTCCACCGGGTAAATAAATGCTATAAAGGTGCTTGATATGTCTTTAGCTTTCAGTGGACAGCTGCCGCATTGGTGGAGTGTTAGAGAATCTAAGGAGGATTTGTGAGTAAAAGAGCCGGAATGACTCATTCTTGTTTCTCATGAGTGGTGATCGGTTTGCATATCATAATAGGTTTTGGGTGTACTGAAGACCATGCCTCGTCCTTGTGCTTTTCCCTGGTTGCTTGTTGTTTCACGGACAATTTTGAATGGACTATTTCCGTTTAATACATCACATTACCGTACTAGAGGGAGCTGCAAAGTTTATCACTGAGACCAGTACTAACAAGAAAAAATCGTTCAGATGTAGATCCCTTTCGGTACCTAAGTTCCATGCCACCAGAAGGAAGCAGGAGGGATACTGCCAGGTTGCCTAAGCCTGGACGGGGGAAGTCGAGAGGCATAGGTCGGTCTCGAGCACCGGACCCCCCGATGAGTAAATTCGTGCTCTAACCACCGGGCCTTCTCAACCTACTGACCAGAACGATTCAGAGAGGGGACAATATTGCTGAGTTCATGACTCACCTCCAATTACCAGTTACAAAATACACCACCGAGAGATTGAAGAACAAAGCCAGCAGATTTGACAACGTTTCCTGACAAGTAAAGATGTGAGAAAAGAACTGACAGTTAGTTCGACATGATATCAAGCACGAAAAATGGTTAGAAACAAAGGCCTTATTTTACAATTCGGGTAAGCGATAAGCAAATACGTTAGCTCTGTGTGCGTGTGAATTATGATCCTCAAGCTATCGAGAACACCACTGACAGAAATCGAATGCCGGAATCCAGAAATAGTACAAAACTCAGTGACTAAGAAGTACGGTATAATGGTAGTGTGGACTGCAGAATGATGCTACGACAAGGCCCTCAGGTGCAACAAATCCAGTTACATCATCGTCCGCTTAAAAATGTCAGACGAAGAAATTGGGTGACAGTTATCGAGCCCGTATGAGATAATAAGCAGAAGTAAAGTACAATACCCGATGTTTACCAAAATGGGCAAAGAACAGGTGGGGTGATGAACACAAGTGTAGGAGCACAGTGAAGAAAAATGTGCAAAAAGCCCACCTGACTACCATCCTTTGCCGCGACGTCAGCTACGTTGTTATCCAAGGCCTGATGAAGAGTGACGGCCGCACGAGTTGCTCCTCCCGCAACACTTACAACTGACTGCAAGGAAGAATAACGAAGAAAGCCAAATTTCCAGCCAAATGTATGGCTAAGGTGCGCATATTTTCTCTTAATTCACAATGGTCAGCCGCCATATGAATGTATGCCTATTTTCTTATTTAGTCCAATGAACAATTTCAATAATTCTGCAAGACGACCTTGAAGAGTCATGGCATCCTTCCAAAGAATGGTCACCGCCCTAGACAGTCCGGGGAAACGCTTTCCATAAGCCAGGGTTCCGTGTGCGAACAATCCCCTCCCTAACGCTGAACAAAGCCGATTTCACAAGGAAGCTCAGTAAGAAGACAGTGCAACGCGGGACGCCAAACTAAATGGCCTGGGATCCACATTGGTCATATAAGCCTAACAGGATTGGCCGTGAGCCTGATCATTCAATCGCTTTGTGCAATAGCAGCACCCGACTGGTACGCCTCATAGAAAGCACCAAGTATAGAGGCTCGGTTGAGAAAAATGGACAGAGCATTCAGCTACAGGCTATTCAAAAAGGTACAACTGCACCTACCTTACATAGGTTGGCCACGCAGATGATAAACGTAAATACTGACGGGAAAAACGAAGACGCTAACTCAAGAAAGAGCGCACAATCGTTGATGATATCTGCCAACAGTCTGTAATACAGAGAAGGCAAAATTAATATGGATTTACGGCAAAGCAGCGTTCTAACAGTGGCATAAAATGCATCGAGTTTCTTACCTCCAACGCTTGCAGTCACAGTCCAAATTACTTCTGTTTACAGAATCAACGAAATGTTGTTAAACGAACAGGACTGAGAGCTTACCCTTGCCAACCGACAAAAACTATTTTGCCGATCATACCCGATCCATCTAAGTAGGAAGGATAAGAAACGTACGAAAGTGGATGGGAAGTAGTTTGGACTGTTGAAGACAGTGAGCCGCTGGAAACCCATGACAGCACCTCCATAAATAACTATCTAGAATTCTACAGCAGAGCTGCTGAATCGAACGGACATTATCAAGTATAGATGGGCGGCAAACAGACCACAGAGATATCTCAGAGCCAAAGTACTGCGATTCCATTATGAAGGAATTGGAATGACGACAAAAGGTGAGTACTATGTTTGCACCACCAGACGGAGAACTGCGCGACAAATGAGTTACTCACCCTTCAACATCCAGGACAGGCTGGCTCCAAGGATGGTTGCCTTAACATCACCTACACCAACGCCGATGAGGACGGATTGCGCTGCTAGGGCGCCCGTAACACTGCTAGCCAGAGCCTAAGGAAAAAGAGGAATACGAATTAAAAGCAAACTAGAAGCAAGTTGTATAGTGGATCTATGAACAAGTTGAATCGACCTCAATTTACAGAACCTCCTGCCAGGAGTGGACCAGATAACGCAAAATAGGTCCTCTCTGGTAAAATGGACCAACAGTACTCCAGCAGACTTGAGGATCAGTACAATGTGGAGTAATGAGACGCAACAATTACCAAAAAACAGACAATGAAACAAAAAGGCTTGCAAACATATAAACGTAATTTTTGTTCACGGCATTTTATGCGTTTGTAGTAAAAGAACGATACATGTCCGGCAGTAAATGCAAGCCACTCAGGTAAATTTGTTCGGTGTCCTAGAATCCATCGGCTCTCAGGTGCTGTTATCGTAAAACATTCACTTATGAAAAACACCTGTACCGACATAGCATGAAGTTACAATTGAATACACTATTGTCAACAGACACATGAGTGACTCAGTCAGTCTACAATGAAAGCGATTCATTGCGCGGCCACATTGGTGCTACAAAACACTCATTACTCGTTGGAAAGAACTGTATGCACGTACGATTCGTCCCTCATTCCTAAGAAGCATGAAAACCCGACGGGTTCAACATGTTTTGGGTTGTGAACTAGGATGTGTAACAAATGAAAAAGGATGACGGAAAGCACGAAACAGCATACAAACAAGGAATGAAAAGCGTGAGTGGAAGCATGCATCCAGCTGATCACCGGTGAAAAAGTGTTTTGCACCATAAGTGCTTTGACCAGAATGAAGTGACAAAAATTGTGAAGATGCAAGAAAGGCGCCACAAGCTAAGGTACATTATCAGCTGTTCCACAGAACAACCTGTTTTCACACAAGAATTCGCGACTCACAACCATTTATCGCCTGGTAAAGCAAGGGATTTTCATGCAAAAGTCGATTTCCTGGTGCAATTGATAGAGGGATAACATTAGCTATAGAAGCCAAATAAATATCTGCTGCAGACTGAGACAGACTGATCACATTGGGTGGGTATTTTAAAGTATGTGAATCAAGCTCACCTGCACAGTGTCCCATATTTGATATTCCAAATAATCTGGACTCACACTATTCGGATAGCCTTTGGGGAGGAAAATTTTCTGCATCGTTCAATTTGGGAAAAAGGAGGCCGCACAAACCTTGAAGGTAAGAGTTGAAATGTAATACCGGATGGTCCTCCATAGAAAAAACGGATTTTCACGGGAGGGAACGGCGATCCGCAGTGAGTGACCATCCCCATAGGTTTCCAGTGCAAGCCTTCGGTCAAACATAGGTTAACTGAAACAGGAGCAGTGAGGAATGGCGACATTAAAAGAACCAATACTTTGCATTCGTTCTGGTTAGCATTAAAATTCTAGATTTTATTACGACGTTTTGAGACAGAAAAGGCCAACTCAAATGAGAAAATTCTTATGATCGGCTGAAAGTCTTGTTGGGATTTTCATAAGGGAAACTAATCACAAGGTTGCTGAAAACTCTTCGATAGCACACGATCGCTTTCACCCTTCTTGGGATTCATCTAGTGAGCGCAGTCCTCGAGCTTCCGTCAACATTGTGTTTTATTTGAAACTTGCGAGAAGTTTCACTTATGAAAATATACTGCGACATCTTGAATATCGTACCAACTGAAACATGAGGCGGGCTTTGTGCAGCACATTCAGTTGAAGAATATCATAAACGAGAGATGAAAACGCATGACTACCACTGTCCCAGTGTGGTCAGTTCGAATCTCTGGAGAACTAGCCTGTTTTGCCACTTTCAGATCCTTTGGAAATATTCCGACATAACCTGCTGCTCATGTACACTGTTGAGGAGATTCCATTCACTGGAACAAAGGGCAAAAGTGGGCACTGGACAAAGCCGTACGATTGACAAAACGGTGGTTACTCGTTCGGGACGCTTGATAAAAACCCTGGTCCAAAACCACCGTCGGAAATCTAAGTAGATAACCGGCGACGTCGCTCACTAACGATTGTTTCAAAAAGCACAACCAGCTTTGAGTAAAACAAAGCCATTTTACACCAACCAAAGCAACAACGCTTAGCCCTGAAGTTCATTCATTTGTCATCCCCATCAATATTCGATTCCTGTTGCACAATGCTCCACAAATACTCTAATTTGCGCACGAATTCGGTTTTGACAAGAGATTCAACTTAATCCGGATTTATATCCTTTAAGAGGGCTCCGTATGCGAACTCCCGTAGGCCCGCACTAGTATACTGCAAGTTTTCGCCTGAGTTCACTACATTCAGTGACGCAATACAAGGCTGGCCTCTCTCACCCTTTCTCTTCAACCTTGTTATTAATGTGCTGCTTGAAATTTCTCCGCCTGCCCCTGAAACCTCTGGGATAGAAATGTTCCCGGTATGTTCGCCCACAGACATTGGCTCAAATCCTTCAAAAATGCGAACCATTCTAAATAACCTAAATAACTCTGCTATACGATCTGATATGGATACAAGTATACGGGAAGCTCTGGCCTGAGTTTACTACGTCCAATAGTGTCCTGTTTCTCTTTTCCTCTTCAATTTCGTTATTGATATGGTGCTCGAAATTTACCTACCTGCCAGTGAAACCTAGGGAGTCGAAATGCCACCGCGACATTCGCTCACATACATTGAGTATGCGGACGAAAACGCTCTCCCGAATCGCTCCTTCCCAAATGCAGACGGTTTTAAGGAACTTAAATTACTCTGTCGCACGGTTTGGCATGCGCTTCACAGCAGAAAAATATAAAGTGCTGCTACAAGACTGGGTGGGATCACACCCACACCTAATGCTTGCAGTCGAGCCGGTCGGCGTGGTTAGATTCCGAGTCAACGACGAAATAATTCTTAGGTTCTTTGATGAGACTATTTATCGAACCAGAAAGGCCAGGGCAGCTTTTGCCAATGCGCAGCTACCCGATTCCCAAACTAATTGAACATGCCATGACTTCCAAGGCCCGACTGTAAATCCCAAACTCCCACTTTCCACTGATCGAAACTGTAGCAGCTGAAACCAATATACCTACTGTATACGGTTTACAGCTGATAAACTGGATTTAACTGAAGATATCCAGCATCATCCTCATCATCATCAAGGACAGCAACATCAAACTGTAGCAAAACCAATATACCTACTGTATACGGTTTACAGCTGATAAACTGGATTTAACTGAAGATATCCAGCATCATCCTCAACATCATCAAGGACAGCAACATCAGTGTTGCCACTGATGCTTCACTGCCGTACAACCATAAGTTTCGTCTAGTTATATATATATATATATAATTGTATTAAAAGCCCTGCAATGAAGAGAAGAGATAAAGAGTGGGTGAGGGAGGGGACCTAGTGCTGGCCTATGTCAAGCATTCTGAGGTGCCTAAACCTCCAACCGCTCAATCAGACAATCTGGAAAGAAACTGACAGCA